CGCTCCAGAGACCGGCGAGCCAACCGTGCGAGCCGCAGCAGGAGCAGGGACCAGCGTAAAGCCGAGGAGCAGCGTAGGAGCCCTACTGGAAATAGGCACAAACATAAGAGTGAGGGTAAAGATCAAGAAAGGAAGAAGGAGCAGGGTGGAGGTGTAGATAAAGACAAAAAAAAGAACAGAGAAAGGGAGAGAGATCAGGAAAAAAGGAAAGATAAGCCCAAAAAAGAGGAAAAAGAAAGTAAGGCTGGCAATCACGATGACAGTAGATTAAAGAGAAAAAGAGACAGCGAAAGAACTTTCTCTCGCAGTGATTCAATATGTGTGAAAATAATAAGACAGGATTCCAGACAAGAAAGCAAAAAAGTTACTACCAAAGATAGCAAAAAACGATCAGGCTCTGAATCTAGTGCAAGGAGTAGTTCTGAATCACCAGGAAGCAGTAAAGAAAAGAAGTCTAAGAAATCGAAGCATATTCGGTCATGCTCCATGGAGAAATCTCAAAGGTCTGGTAAGAAGGCAAGCCGCAAACACAAGTCTAAGTCACGATCAAGGTAGTATACTTTTTAAGTACTTTGTCTGACTTTTAAAAAGTTTTTTTATATTCGTCTTCATGTGTACGGCATATGAACCTTTTTAATCAAGTATGGTATTTATTAAACTTTGTCTTAGGCAAAAGTAACTTTGGAAAATCTTTTAAAACTATTAATTACTAAGCCTAAAGTGTGTGTGGGTTTGGGGATCTTTTATTTTTTCCAATTAACTTTTTCCCCCTTTTCCTTTATTTTTCAGATCAACAACTCCTCTTCGTCGTAAACGCTGAGGAATTTATGGCACCAGTGCTATGATGTTTAAAAATTCCATGAGTTATAAAAGGCTTGTCTCATTATAGAGGCACATTGTGGCTATGTAGGTGAAACCAGAATCCTTTTTTTTATTTGTAAATAGGTGTATTTTTTCCAAATGCTGCTCAGAATAACAGGATTTCTTTGTATTACATTTTTTCAAGAACGGTAGTGCTTATTAAGACTATAAAACAGGCCATTCTCTTTCAGCTGTAATGTTCTTAAAATTACTATTGAATGTACTGTGATGTCAATAAAGCTCTTTAGTTCATTTTTTTGTTTAAAATTCTTGCACCTGAATTTTGTGGTATATGGTAGAAAGTACTTAAAAGAAAAAGAAAACGGCAGCTTTTTTGGTATAACAGATTTTTAAAGTACTTGAAAAAGATGAAACACTTGTAATCCATGGACATTATAAGATTACTTTATTGGGGGTGTGGAAGAACAGAGAAAAGACATCTTATTTTTCTTTAGTTATGTGTAATAGATTTTTTAATAACCCTTTTTTTTTTTTGGTCTAGCTGGTTATATATATATGCTGTTTGTGTAAAATATGGGTCACTGTAATACAAACTATACTTAAACAGACTGAACCCCATTAGGAATATGTGCAATTAACTGATCTCATGTGGCAGTGTTGAGCTCTGGAACTATATTCCTCACCCAGTTTTCAGAGAGATCTTTGGATGTTCAGGCATATTACACACATCTCACAATTGTAGATGTTTTTATGGAGCATGTTTATAAACATCACTCAGTGCACATGGGAAACTGACAATAGGTTAACTTTACATTTTGGCACATGCATTAGATGCATAGTGAATATTAAAGCTGGTTCTTAGTTCACAAGAATTATGACTCATGTAAAGCTGATACACTGATGTATTAGCAATGCCACTAAATTTTTGATTTTAATATTACCATAAAATGAAAGAGGTCACTGATTACCTGCTTAAGGAAATTGACTATTGCTATTAGAAACGAGAGTGTGAAATAATAGAAGTTAAAAAACAAATCAACAATACCCAACTCTAGGCCAGTGACTGTTACAGAAGAACATAAATTCAGGGAGAGATCTGTGCCTAAAATGTCTGGTATGACACCAGTTGTGAAAAAGGTAAAAGGCTTAACATCGAAGTAAGTTCTCTTTGACTGGCTCAGTCTTTTAAGAAAAAATGGTACTGGTACAGGCAGCTTGGAAAGCATGTCTTCATGAATAGATAAATCCATTTAACTAAATAAAAATTTAGCTATGCAGCTTTTTTCCACTGTAATTTTTTTCATAAATAAGATGCAGAAATGAACTGCTTCAGGGCAAAGAAATGCATTTTAACTATGTGTTTAATAAGCAAGCGAATTGCTAGTGAATACATGCATGTTTATCAAAACACTGTCTCAGATAAATAATCAGTTATAAATTATAACACCCCCCTCAATTATATCTTTCACATAGAGGAAGCAGTCATATTTATTAGCAAAATAAGGCATAATTTACAACACACAACTTTTGCTTGCATTGGTAGGAATATAAATAGTGATGTATTGATCCAATCTCACTACACTCTTGGCTCTGGGTAAGAGTGAGGAATTTTGGCAAGTAGGTAGCATAACAGTTCAGATGTCCTAGACGGACATCTTGTGAGAGACAGAAAGAAACTAGAAATAAGCTTAAGAAAAGCTGTTGAGGAATACAGTTTCCAGGATGCATTGAATTTGATTTTTCAGTTCAGATTTTATATTCTCTGTCTAATAAAAAAAAAAATTGTGTATGAAAAGCTTTATATACTCTGCCAACAACTGGAATTCTGTCACTTCCTGTAAATATGAAAATTATTTTTTTGACACAAATGCACTTCTATGGGTAGTGACTGTATGCCAATAAAAAGAGCATACGATCTCTGTATTTAACTGTTTCAGAAATCTTACTCATCACTCAGTAATTACATACACCTTGGTACTCTTGTCAGCATCACATACATTAAATTCCTTTGGGCTTTGGAAACTCCCCTTAGAAATGTCTTTCACCAGAAAAAGCTAAAATAACAACTGCTCTTTTAATTCCATACACCTGAAGTTATCCTAAAATGTGCAAATACATACAAAAATGGGAATGTATCGTTTTAAAATGAATGCTGCAAAAACATTTCAGTGCACTACAGGAAAGCAATACATAGGATTTTGAATGTCATGCAGGACGTGACATTTGAAGGCATTTCCCTTGAAAACTTTTTTAAAAATTGAGGGATGGTGTGGAATCAAATGAATAATGATTTCCATGCAAATTGTTCTGAAGGTGAATACAACCAAGCCAATGTCTATATGTGCCCCAAGGAGCCTGCTACACCATGTAAGAACAAGAATCAGCTGTGGCCATGGAGAGGCCAAAAAGAGTAGCTGAGTAAATATTCTGACTTTAAAGATTGAGCAACTACATGTGCTTTGAAATATGGCACAATAACAAAAACTCTGTTCTGTATTTGAGGCTCTGTCTCATGGAATAGCCACTTTCAAACAAGCTTGTCCTGTTAAGTAGAATACATGGCCAGTGTGCATGGATTTACTTGCTTGTAAGCATTTGTAAAATCAAAAATACAAAAGCAATGGCAATGTAAGGTTTGGCTCTCTTGCTCAGATTTTGCGTTTGCTTTGCTAAATGAATGACAAGCAATAAAGTTGAAAATATGTGGATGCATGCCCTGAAGGAAGGCTTAGTTTTGTCTCTTAAGGAGACTGTCCATAAGGGATTTGTTGGAGCTCTGTTACTTTCAGTAGCTCTGAGATGTTATTAATGACTCGTAACTCCACTGCACTGTGAGCTTTGTTGGATAGAAGGCAAGTGAGTAGAAAAGTGAGGCAGGTGCATACTAAGCAGGTTTGCCATATGTTTAATTGCTGTCAAGACAAGCTTTTTTGAGCCTTTTCAGCAGTCCTTATTTAGCTTTAAAAAGAAAATAATCCAGACTTTAACTACTACATGAATTATACTGTATTTACAGGAGACCTGTAAACAGGCAGATTTCAAGGAGTGAGGGTTGTATTACCAAGCAAGGTCAGTTCATAAAGCAGGCTGGCACTAGAGGGAAGTCAAGCCAGGACTGGTTGCACTCCAGATTTCCTGCAGCCCAGAGGATGCTCCTGCCCTTGGCACTGTGCGGGCCGTGCCTCCTGCCTGTGGATGCCAGCATCTGCACAGCCAGGCAGGAACACGGCTGGGATCATCTGCCTGGCAGGCACGGAGCGCTGCTTCCTAGCTTACCTTTGCCTTGGTCTGCACTGCTGCCTTCCAGACACCTCTGGTTTTCACTGGGCGTTCTTGTTGGACCTGCAGCTCAATAAAGTGTCAGAAAACGAATCTTTAAAAAAACTCGCTTAATTCTTTTCCATTTGTGTGTATCAGCCCTGAACTGCCAGGGCCACTCACCTCAGTTCGGCGCCCTGTGCAGCAGTGCCTGCGAGGGAACAGGGAAAGTAGAAACCCTTCTTGTTCCTGGGCCACAGCCTGGACTTGATGTGCAAACCGTGACACGGCAGCCTCTCACAGAGGCAGCGGCATGCCAGCTCGGATGGGTCCCGTGAGGGGGCTGCCCAGGCCAGCTCGGATGGGTCCCGTGAGGGGGCTGCCCAGGCCAGCTGGGATAGGTCCTGTCAGGGGGCTGCCCCAGGCCGGCTAGGATGGGTTCCCTGAGGGGGCTGCCCCAGGCCAGCTCGGATGGGTTCCATGAGGGGGCTGCCCCAGGCCAGCTCTGATGGGTCCCCTGAGGGGGCTGCTCCAGGCCCAGCCACGCTGGGGCTCAGGGGTTCTGCTCCCAGCTGCTGGGATCGCTTCCCTCTGAGCCTGCCCCGAAGCGAGGACTCTTGTACTTTGAGCTGTGCCCTGAAAGCCCGGTGTGTTTCTTGGTAATGCAGGGGGCTGAAAGCTGTGGGCTCGTCGCTGTGTCATCCGAACGAGCCTCTGCTTGCGGGTCTTTTCGTGTCCCAAGACAAGGCAAGGACGGGGCACACATTTAAGCAGAGTTGGTCCAGACAAGTGCCACGGTAGGGGCTGGCATTCGCGCCGGCCCCAGCACCGGGCGGAACCTTCCCGGCGCCCGCCCGGCGAGGCAGCCGGCACCGCCGGCCGCGGACCGGGGCGGGGCGAGAGCGGCAGCGGCGGTGGCCATGGCCGTGTGGGGCGGCGGGGCGGCCCGAGCGCTCACCCGCGCCCTGCGGCGCCGGCGGGCCGCGGCCGCGCTGCCGGGGGCTGCAGGCGGTGAGCGGGCGCTGGGCGGGCGCGGCAGAGCGGGAGGGATGGATGGAGGGAGGCCCCGGCGCGGCCGGGGGCAGGGGCGGTGAAACGGGGCTTCGCTTCGCCGGCTCCCTCACAGCCGGGCCCCGCAAGCCTCCGGCTGGCGGCGGCCCCGGGCGTGTCTGGCAGCTGCCGGCCGCGTCCCACGGCACTCCCAGCCCGGCGCCGGCCGGACGGGAAGGTGTTGTTCCCCTGCCCCTTATGGTCCGGAGGTGTCTAGATCGCTCCATCGCTCACTGCGGCCTAAAATCGTCTTCAGGGGTGGTTTACTCTGGGTACAGCGAGGCATCGCTGTGATTCGGGGCTGTTGGTGACCAGGCAGCAGCTGGGTGTGAGTGAGTGTTCGCCGTGCTAGGGAGAGCCCTGCGTGGGCTGAGCAGGAGCGGAGAACAATTGCAGCGTGTTGTTCCTGGCCTGTCTGTGCTCCGTCCGTGGCGGCTTTTTGCTTAGGTTTCCTTACCTGTTCATACAATGCAAAATGAGTGTGCAGCTGTGTATATCTCTTTCCAACACATAATAAACCCAGCACTGCTGAGTGTGTGTGTGTGTGCACAGCTCACGGTCAGGGTAAACATTTTGGGGAAATTTACACTAACTGAAACATTTCAGTTGCAAAAAAGCTCTTTCCGTTCAGTCTCCTAACGTGGAAATTATGTACAAATTATTGTACATCATTTCAGGAGTACAGGGGTGGTGAACTAGCATACATTCATTTATTTAATTCCCAATTCCCTAAGTACAATAGTGAGCAAATGTGCAAAGATTTGCATGGTTAGTATTCTGCTATAGCAGCACTCTTACAAGTAGGTGTTTTGTCTCTGACTTCTTGTAAAGCTGATGCTTTGCATTTGGATGTCTTTTATTTATGCAGATGACCATGCTGATCTGTCTTTTCAGACAGGTCTGAGAGATATCCTTCAGAACTACAACAGGAAAAGACAACTGAAATTTGGTAGTACCTTGCCTGTCTCTCTGACTGAAATGAAAAGCAACATGTAAGTATTGTAGCTAAAATAACCGTGTGTGATGAGGGCTGCTCTTTTCTGTAACAATTTAATTTGACTTCGTGACTTTGTGCCAGTGTCACGTGGAGTCGTTTTTATATCTCACACGTTTGAATGTTTGATGTGGCCTGTTCTTGTTTTACTAATTGCCAGCTTAAAAATGACAAGCATGCAGCCATCTGTTTGGGAAGATATGTTACCCATACATGTATAATATCTGTATGCTGGTAAACAAGTGGAACTCGAATCTCTAAAGAAACATGAGTTTTACCTTTTTGCATTTTCTGATGCAGTATTTGTTTTTCCCATATTTCAGCTGACAGGAAATATTAGTATTGGTTTAATGACATTCAGCTTTCATTATTTAGATTCACTGTGAAGAGACCTTTCAGCACTTCACACTCATCAGTGGATTCAAAGGAAATGAAAAAATTCCAGCTCCTTGCACATAAGTGGTGGGATGAAGAAGGAGAATATGCAGCCCTTCATTCTATGAATGATATTAGAGTGCCATTTATTAGGTATGGTTTTGAAGACAAATTTTTTCTTTTATATGTACTACTTCTGTATGACCTCAGAAAATACTGTAAAAAAAGCTAATTACCAGTGCTTAAGATAGCCACAGCATTTATTGAAGCACCTTGTGGGTTCGACCTTAATCACATCCCTTTTCTTTCAGAGATACTCTGTTGAGCATGAGTGGTAATTATCATCTGGGAAATCCACTTTCAGGAGTCAAGATTCTTGATGTGGGCTGTGGAGGAGGACTGCTGAGTGAGGTAAGAAACAGTGAGCTCTGAGTTTTCTTCTAAAAAGGCGTGCAAGGTATTTGAATTGTACAAATTACACTGCTTAATTTCTAGTCCTCCAAGGAGGACTTTTTCTCTTCTATGATGTGTTAGTTACTGAGTAGAGTGCAGTGCACTCATACAAAAAAAACCCCATAGAGTATTTAGTTAGCATAGTGGTGGTAGTTTACAGAGAATGAGGGAGTTGGTAGTGAGAAATTCTAAAATTGAGATTCTAAATCAGGAAAATAAGATTTCAAGCACTGTAAAGTAAAGGAGAGGGGAAGAATGATGAAAAAGTCCTTGAATATTTCTTCTTTTGTTTTTCTTTTTTTACCTTATAAGTCTAGGCAGGAATACTTGGAATCATGACATCCTCATTACCAAAGAAACAATTTTTATTATAAACTTGTTCTTACACATTCATTTATTTGAACTGCTTATCTTCAGTGTTTTACATGGGTATGGGGATTGTCACCTTTGATTTGGTCTCATGGGAAATGCATGGAATAACATCAAGCACCCAAATCATACCTGTCCTGTGTCAGTAGAGATTGCTGTGGTAAAGGGGCTGATGTTACAGTGGCTTCCAGAGAAGTCTGCACAAACTTGGGACTGAGAAGTTGCTGTTTGTGGTGGAACACTGTCCCCACAGGCTCTGAACAGTGCTGTGTCCCATCAATGAACTAGGGATGGGGATGGTTTGTGAATTTAGGGTTACACATCTGGCTGCCTTACTCTGGGAACTTCATCAGCATCTGAAGTGAGGTGTTACAAAGGGACCTGAATCTCTCCCATGTTTTCTTTCTTTGTTTTTTTCTCCTCTTTGGAGCAAAATCTTGTAGTCTTGTGAGAGGGGTCCTTCCAGCAATGCTGGCAAAACTGGTGTGCTGCATCACCTTCTCAGGCTGAGCAGCTGGTGAATTTCAGGTTGGAATATCATACATGTGGTCATGTTCTACAGCCTGTGTCAGTTTCAGAAGAGGTGATGACTGAGGTGCTAACCTTGGAGTAAGAAGACACTGGAGAAACCTGAGTGACAGCCAAGGCTGATGCTATCCTAGTAAACATCAGTGTTTAGTTCTCAGCAGTGAGAAAGTCCCAGAGATAATCACATATTAAGTAACCATTAAAAAGATATGAGGATTTACCATTACAGGTGGATGTTGAAGAAAGTAATGACAGTAATTAAATAGGGCATTGCTTTCTCCCCTTTAATTACTGTGTTGATTTTCCCTCTTTGTTTTTCCTGTATCAGAGAGTAGTAGTGGAAGAAATCTTTATTTGCTGTAACAAAATGAATTGAGAACAAATTATTCTAAAATACAATTTAGATGTGTGTATAGTCCACTATATAATTTTGTAAGAAAATTAACACTACCTTTCCCAAATGGAAAGGTGTTTTTGCTTTTATAAACATTTAAAATAAAACTGCTGGATCAGAGCTCATAATTTACTGTTGTTTGTCTTGTGTTGATGAATTCTGCATCTTGTATGTACATTGCAAAGTTTCAGAAACCTTTAAGTAAATTGTTTTCATGCAGAGAATAAATTACACTCTTTTTTATTAGCCTTTAGGTAGACTGGGAGCTTCAGTTACTGGAATTGATCCTGTGGAGGACAACATTAGAACAGCAGATCAGCACAAGTCATTTGATCCAGTCCTGGCTGAGAGAATACAGTACAAGTCCAGTTCACTGGAGGAGATTGTGGAAGAGTCTATGGAAACCTTTGATGTAATTGTAGCTTCTGAAGTAGTGGAGCATGTGGCTGACCTTGAAATGTTTATCAAGTGTTGCTCTCAGGTGTTAAAGGTAAGAGAGTTTTTGCTTTCATTATTGGGAATATTTATTCTCTTTTATTATTGTGGTTTTTTAAAAAGAGTGTGAAAACACATCTGCACTGTACATACATTTATCCACTAAGTCAGAAGTATGTTCTAGAAGTGCCTTCCATTCTTCTCCATGATGCAAATACATCTTCCCAAATTCAGTAACCACAGTTAGGGGAAATTTATTTCTCCAGCTCAGCCTCAGAAAAGTGCTAAGGCATTACCTAGCATTGCAGGTTTGCATTGCATCAGGACCCTAAGGAATCTGGGTGCATCTGATTTCACACAGGTGAGAGAAAATGTGGCAGTGCTGCTGTTGATGGACTGCTGTGGCTCAGACTGCATGGGAGCTCTGTAATGATGTTTCTGAGGCAAGATTTTATTCCAGCACTAGCATCACATCACATGAGAGAGATCCTGGATTGCTTTTAAAGGTTCCTAGTTAGGCTTTGGAGATAGTCAGGTTGTTGTTCATCTTGATACTAGTTCATTTGCAAAAGAAGGGTGGTAACTCAGCACACAAGTGGGAGCTTTTCTTTGATCTCTTTATCTTTCTGGTCATCAGAAGAAATATTAATTATTTCAGTTGAATACACTAGTAACTTTTAGCCTTCTAGGGACAAAGAAATTATCCCTTATTTCTAACAAACAGTCCTTTAAGGACTTAGAATTTGTTTCTGGCTTTGTTTCTTTGCCCATGTAATTATTAAAACAAGCATGGCATGGCATTCAGCAGTCTCAGAAATTAAGGAAGTATTTCACATTTTACTTTGGTTTCAGTTAAAAAGCGCTTTGTGGTTTTATTTTGGTTTTTTGCTTTGTTGGATTTTTTTTTTTGTTTTTTTTTTTAACAATAGATATTGTATATGCTTTAGTACCTTTTATTTATCCATTTCCTGAGCAGAAAATATTATAAGTGACTTTTCTAGGTGTTCTTTGGGCTAGGGAATAGTTTTTAGGCCACCCAAGACCTGATTATGTTGATTCTTTGAAGATTCCTGAGACATACTGTTAGGAAAAGTTATATTCTTTCTTGTATTAAAATGTTATAAATATCTATCCTGGGATGAAATTACTTCTTAGTCTTGCATTGTGTAGACTTTGACATAGACAAATTATTTGTCTTAATGTGATTAAATTTACCATTTAAAAAGACACAAAAAATTCTTCTAATTGAACATTTTAATATTTTAATTAGCCTGAAGGTTCTTTATTCATTACGACAATCAATAAAACGCAATTGTCCTATGTCCTGGGAATTGTGGTTGCAGAAAAAATAATGGGGATTGTACCAGAAGGAACACATGAATGGGAGAAATTTGTTCCCCCTGAAGAGCTGGAGCGTCTCCTGGAATCAAGTAAGTTTCAGGCCAGATGGTGGGAATGGAGAGAGAATTCCAAAAGGTCCCTGTAGAAATGGCAAAGGGATAAGTTAGGTGGGGTGAGTGCTAGCAACAATACACAGCTTTTCCTGCTTGAGTCATATATTAAGAGTGTGGTTCCTGGTTTAAAGACACTGCTGCTTACTGGGTTTTGCATAAAATAAATTAAATTGAATCCTAAGAATGCAGTGATTACTTGAACAAAATCACTGTTGCAGCTGCCCTCTGTTTAATAGCCTAAATAAAAAACTCCAATGTTTTCCATTGTGTTCTGGTGACAGAATGTGTGCTCTGAAGTGGTTCATAAGCTCTAGGTCAGGTTTGAGGAATTAACTGTGTTGGCACTCTGGCTGCACTGCTGCCACTGCATTGTTTGTTGCCTTTCCTTTGGGAGGAGGCATTTTTATTTTTGGTTTGCTGCTCTGTGTTCTCTATTCATATTATGTTACTAAAAGATTTCTTCTAAAATGTGAAGATGAAACCTACCACAAATTCATTAGTCAGTTCTTGAGAAACTCTGTGATACTGATTTTAATTATTTCTAATTAAGTTAGCCTGGTCTGATTGCTTTTAAAATAGACAAAGCAATGAGCCTATTGCCTATTGCCCTCCTTCACCACAGATGTTTTAAAACCCTCTCACCAAATATTTCACTTTGCTCTAGTTGACTGCAAAGAAGCTGAAGTATGAGTGGAGCTATTCTCTTGGCAAGGCCTTTTCCTGGCACTTTGCAGTGATGCCATAAGAAATATGACTAATACTAGTTCACATACCGGTGGTTTTTTTCAGTTCTTCCTTAGAAAGGAGAAGCAGGTGCAGTGGAGTGATTTGTTTTGGTAGGGTGTTTGTTTTCTGCCTTCCATCCTGTATCCTGCTGGGCACAGCAGATCCATGCAGTGAACTGAGTGCTGCTCAGCTGGGAGTGATAAATAACTCTTTCTTTGCACTGAGTCCTTGATGACATTCATCTGCCTTTTTCTTACATTTTCCATTCCTAAAGGGAATCTGAAGAATCCTTGCAAAGATGTGCTCAGATTTTGATTTTGGGGTGTGTGATGTCAATCTGAAGCATGTCTCCACCTCCAGAAAACGTTACCAGTCAGCCAGATGGGGAGGTGTGAGGCTGGGGTTTCAGCAGAGCCCTGTAGCTGCTGCTGGGGCAGGGCCTGGCACAGAGCCACTGCCAGGACCTGCTGTCACCAGTGATGCCAGTGGCACTGCATGTGGGGGTGTCTGACAAAGGCCAGTGTCCCCCCCAGCCCAGAGGAAGAAGCATGTTTCAGACTTGCTGTTCTAAAGAGCTTTGATGTTGCAGTGACCTAAAATATTTAAGAACATCTGTTGCATTGTGTGGCTTCTTTCTTTCCCAGCTGGCTTTTCCGTGAGGAGCGTGCAGGGGATGCTGTACAATCCGCTCTCGGGCTCCTGGAGCTGGGTGCAGAGCACGAGCCTGAACTACGCGCTGCACGCCGTCAGGGCCGGGGCTGCCCCACAGCCACACGCCTCAGACACCCTGCCTCAGACAGATGTTCAACAGAGCTCAGGCACAGCTGGCACAGCTGGCACTGTCCCAGACAGCACTGTCTGACTGTGTGCTGATGGACTGTCACAGAACAGAAAGTGAGCTTTTACTCAGATGGACACAATAAAACCTTTGCCAACAACAAGCGTCCTGTTTGCATCAATAATACACGTGCTGTTTTTGGCCAAATACTTACGGTGGTCTCAAAAAAATCAAGTGCCCGCTATCTCAGGAATGTTTTAAGATTGCAATGAGCAAAGCTTTTAAAGAATAAGTATTTTCATGAGAAACTAGTTTTAAATTGTTGGACAGGGAAATGCAAATTATTCTGTTGGTAGCTTGGAGGGAACTTTATTATGTGGTGGTGTTTTCAGTCCTGCTGGGACTCAGTTCTCCACAGAATAATGGCATAGATGTAGAGTGAGTTAAAAACCACAATGCTGTACAATAAATAAAATGCCTTAAGTATTTAAGATCCTTAATTCTGTAAAAATATATGAAACACTCAAGATCTACAAAGACTTTTTTCTGTAATACACCTTTCTCCCTGAGCAGGGGAAACAAAATAGCAAACCTTTACTGTTGAGTCCTGCTGTTTCTGCTCTTTCTGTAATTGTGAAATGGAAGAAGAGTCTCTGAGACCAGAGCTCCTCAGTTGTGAAAGCCCCTTCACCATAAAGATAGTTGTATCTGTGCCTATTTTTCAACTTCTCCCTCTGCCCAAATAAAGAGAATCTGCAGGGAAAATTTTACTAAGCAACCAGAGCTCCATGCTAGAATGATGACACATTAGCAGTCTGTCCTATAACAGGTGCCATACCTGTTCTTAATGTTTTAGAGCTGGGGTAAGGAAAAGTCATTTACAATGAAACAACTTTCTAAATAAAGTTTCATGTGTTGTCTATGACTGCATCTTCCTTCCTTCCTTCCTTCCTTCCTTCCTTCTTTCCTTCCTTCCTTCCTTCCTTCCTTCCTTCCTTCCTTCCTTCCTTCCTTCCTTCTCCTTTGTCTTTGTACACTGTTTGTGTACAAAGTTTGTACACTGCTGGAAAGGTGTCTTGTTTTTGTTTGCAGGGATGAAAATCAAACTTTTTTTCCCCCTCTTTTTTTTCTCCCTGTTCTAGTTGCTTGTGCGTTTTTCCTGCTGTAGAGGTGTGATGGGCTACATTGATTTTTTTACACATTTGCATTCTTCCTGCTTTGCTGTATCTGCATGTTGCCTTCAGATCCAAGTTTCCTGATGGATTTGATGGTGCCCAGAAGAATATAGTTAATTTATAATGAAAATAACAGTTATTCATAGCTAATAAAGATTAAGAAGTAGCATCTCTTGTCATTGCTTCCATGACAATAAGTTCTGCTTCATAATATTTCTGTGGGCTATAGCTTGGCTTTGAGAAGAAGATTGATCATCATTTTAAGTTTAGTGATGGAGAAGCCACTACACCAGTAAAGAAATTGTTCCAAAGGTTCATCAGTTGAAGTGGTTTAACCTTGGAACCTCACCAGTGATGTCCTAACATCCTCATTTTACACTTAAGTACCTCTATAAGCTGCAGTTTTGAATTGTCACCCCTTAATTTTCTCTTAGGTAAGTGGTCTGAGAATATCTGTACAGCTCTTACCACTACATGTGAGTTTCCGAGTTCACATGAAGTTTTGTGTTAAACATTGTTTCTGAGCAGGGCGGTGGAACTGGCAGCAACAATTCATTAATGGTTTCACTAATGCTGTCCACAGGAGGAACACATCATTCCCTGTCTGCCTTTCTCCTGCAAAGGAGTCTCTGCTCCATTGGTCATGCATGCAGCGTGGTGCATGGCTTTCAGGAGAGGAGTGATGCTGGGAGAAAATGAGTCAAAAGAAATAACCAGTAGTCTTTGCTCCTGACTGTGTTCGGGTGTGTTAAACCATGTGCTCCAGTGAGTTCCCCTAACCAAATTAACAACATCAACTTAAGTTACTACAATGTATGACTCCTGTTTCAAATTTTGCCAGCAGCTCTGAAAAGCACTGAGACCTGGACAGGTTCCTGATGTAGCCGACAAGAAACATCCCCCATGAGGCAGTCCCTCCTCCACTGATTTGTTTTGATACTTGTCAAGTGAAATAAAAATAATGTTATAAAACTGTCACAGAAAGAGCTGATTTTTGTTTTATTTAGGAGCCCTCAGTCCAGATGCTTGTGTGATTAGCTGTTATCCTGGCTTTCTCATTCTTTCTGGTTTTCCTCACTTCATAGATTCACAGAATATTCTGACTTGAGAGGGACACACATGGATTAAGTCCAATTCTAAAGTGAATTACTTGTTACTTTCTTTAGTTTTTCATTAAACTGTGAACACCTAGGGAAAGGGTGTTGTGTTTTCCTTTTTTCACTGTTATTTCTATTGCACATAGGAAAAAAAACCCTTTGATGCTTCCTGGGTTCTCTGTCCAAGCTGACAAGAGGGATCCTGTACCTAATGAACAATGGCTGGCATTTAAACCACAAGCACATGGACCTGGTTATCCATGGATACCTCTGGTTTTGACAAAAACCTTACCACAAGCATCTAATCTGCTCCTACATGTGTGTTGGAGCCCTGTCAAACTGGGAGAGTTTTGAGAGCAGTGTGAACAAATGAGTTGGGACTGCTTGAACAACTCCTTGTACCTTTAGTATGTTTCCAGATGTCCTGATATGCTCCATCCCCAGTCCTTACCCCTCAGTTTTCTTCTCCTGGGGATTATCCTAACTACTCTGGCTATATTTCACCCCACTGTTTAAAACAACCTTGTTTAAATGCAAAAATGATAGAATGCAGTAGAAATCATTTTAATGAGCTAACAAACAGTACAAAAATATCCTACACTTGTGAACTGGTTTTTGTGTTTTGCATCCCTACCTTTTTCATACATGTCAAACTGGCACAGAGTAATCTAAGTCAGTACTGTGCTGTGAATACGTACTATGCACTTGTGCTCCAGAAACTTTTTTCTTAAAATCTGTGCCCAGAACACCAATGACATTTTCACACTTCTCTTAGCCCAGCTGCTGCAGAAATTTCATAGATGCTATTGAAATGGACAGAATTTAAATAAAATGAATTTTCAAATGTTTTGTCTTTTATTTTGCAGCCTATTCATGTTTATGGAGCCATAGCTTGAATGCTTACAGGAATAGTGGTGGTAGGAGGTGAAAAAAGCAATGTCATTGCAGCAGGCATGCACCCAGGACTAGGGGTGAGGCAAGAGGTGTTTCTTGCCTTGGGATAGGGAAAAAACAATATTTGGAACTTGGTCTTTTTCAGCCTCTGTGTTTATTTCTGGTTGTATACCCTTGACTCTTCTATTACTAGACATTTATTCCTGCAACAAAACAAATCAGAGTAAGAAGCTGATCCTGGAAAAAAAAATAAAATTCAGCAGAGCAAACAATGGTGTTCTGGGTGGTCTTGGCTATTCAGCTGTGGTTTGGCTTGTTGTGTTTCATCTCTCCCACATTGCTCCATGTGGTCACAGTCCCAGCTCTTTGCTCAGACTGATTCTTGTCTGAGGTGTAATTTTTTTTCTGCTTTCTTTCCTATTTTATTGTGTTTCCCTGGGATGCTGCCGGTGGTTGGGCTGTTCAGGGAGCTGAATTTTCCCACTGTGGAGGACTAGTGCCATTTGGGGGGTCAGCACTGGGAGTAAATGGAGGGAGAAAATGGGACAGAAGAGTCCCTTGAGGGGCAGTAAGCTTTTAGGTTGGCTCAGCCTGTGTGTGGAACATCACATTCAGATAATAATTGACACAATAATTGTGCTCAAGCCCAACTGGAGTAGTATGAGAGCCTCAGAGGAGATCTGCATTTAATCCCCTTTTTAAATAAAAATACAATTTGAAGTTTCCATGGTTCCCATTATGCCATCTTATTGCCTATTGTTCCTTTGTGGTCCAGTGACATTTCATGACCATTTTTGCAGGACTTGACAATTTCTTTCCTCTACATTTCCACTAAAACCCTGTGTCAGGTTCCTTGGGGATGGAAAAAAAGAGAGAGAAAGGAGTGGGAAAGGAATTGTGCAGTGGCTGTGAGCTGAGATAAGAATAATGAATATCTTGTAGGAAGTTTTTCTGAAAATGGCTTCTGAAGTTTTTCACTCTGTTGAAATCTCAGCTTTAATTAAAAAGAAAGGCAACAAACAAATAAACTTATTTTCCATACACTTTTTATAAATGCTTGAAAGGAATAATGCCATGCAGTCTAGAAGTTCAGAAGTCAGAAGACTCAGTGTCTGTAATTAGCCTGATGTAGCAGACCGGAGGAAAAGTGAGACAGAACATGAATTACTACGTGGGGGCTGATACTGCATTTGCAGGGGTTTGAGAGGTGCCCAGGAGTGGTGCCTGGAATGGGAGAGAGCATTGAAAAGTCAGAAACAGAAGGAGTATGAGCAATGTCAGGAAGATAAGTATGATTCTGATGGAGAGGAGAAATTGAAGCAGAGGTGTAGAGAGGGCAGTCTGGTTCTGGTGAGCCTTTGAAGGGGAACTACTGATGGAAATGCTGATGATGGAGAGGGGCTCTGTGTCAGGCTGAAGCATAAAAGTTCCGGAGTTCACAGCCTCCCACTTGCTCTTGCACATTAACCTCCAGTGCCTCATTCCAAATGCCTATACCCTTGCTGAGCTCCTAGAAGGAAAGGTGGTGACATACTAATCATGAGTTGCAGACAGATTTCTCATTCACAATGTTCTCCAGGTCATATGACAAAATTCTAATAACTTAAAGTTTGTGCTGATGGTAAACTTTATTTTTATTGACACGTGTTCCAATGAAGCAATATAAACTGTCATGTTATATTAGAATATAGGGCTAGAAGGGTTGGGATTTCACCTAGACTGTAAAATCACCTGACCTGTCTGGGCTCAAACAAGCATTAATTGCACAGCCACCTCTCAGTGCATTAGGAATTCAGGATATCTACTTTGATCTCCATTTTATTGTGCTTGTACTCCCCCATGGAGTCACTCCAGTGATATGATCAATATTCACTTACTTGTTCTAAAAAGATATAACATTTTTTTCTTCCTGAAGGGATTGTGAAGACCATTAGTGTTCCATTAAAAAATCTGAAAAATCTGTTGACTCTCATGAGGTATGTTGAACCTCCCACCCAAAAAAAACCCCAAAACAAACCCAAAAAAAC